TTCTTGATAGTTATTTGGTTTAACCCTCGGTAAACAATACGGGGTCGCAGAGATCCATCTTTTTTGCTGACGAAGAAGAAACCAGCTCCAAGTGGAGAAGAAGATGGTCGGATTATTACGGCCGCAAGTGACTCATTGATATATTTCTCCATGGTCTCCCTCTCAGGTTTGGAAATGTTATAAAGCCGACTGTTAGGAAGTGGGGCCCCAGGGAGGAGATCATTGGCACAATCATATGGGCGGTGCGGAGGGAGAGAAAGGGCTCTAGCCTTACTGAACACCGGAGCCAAATCATGATAATCAGGAGATATAGCAGAGAGATCGGGAGGGTCGGCCTCCTGACGGTTTGGCGGCGACTGAGTCGGAGGGGCGGCGGAACGGAGGCAGGAACGACAGGGAATAGACCAGGACTCCACATGTCTCTTAGACCAGTTCATGTGTGGGTTGTGGAGTTGAAGCCAATCAAAACCCAGAACTACTGATGAGCTTGCAGATGGAAAAACATAAAATGATATGATTTCCCTATGATTCCCGGAGATTAAAAGTTCTAGGGGTTTGGTCTGGTGCGTAATTTGAGGTAGTTGTTTACCATCTAAAGCTGAAACTTTCAGGGGTTTAGTCAAAGGAGTAGTCTCAATATNATTTCCTGTGGACATCTTGATCTTGTTGAGTTTGTAAGATTGTGCAATAGTTAAGTAAACAAAGTTGATTCTGATAATCAAACTGTTTGTTCTCCTTTTTACCCCAAATTGGAATCGAAAAAAGAATCGATAAAGAATTGAATCGTTTCATAGAATCGAAAAGGGAATCGGAATCGTGAAAACCTTTTCAATTCCCAACCCTACTGGTCAGGACGGGTTTAATCTGTGAGACATGGAAGGTGGGATGGATGTGGAGAGAAGAGGGAAGATGCAGGCGGACAGCAGAGGGACTGATGATCGACCCGATCTTGTACAGCCCAATGAAGCGAGGAGACAACTTTCGGGACATACATTTTAAGGGAATGTCTCTGGTGGACAGCCAAACCTGCTGCCCTGGCGAATAGGTGGGAGCTGGTCGTCTTCTCCTGTCCGCGAATCGGCGGTTCTGTTCGGAAGAGCGGTTCAGAGCTGCAACAGTGTTGCTCCAGATAGTACGGCACCGGCGGATGTGGTGCCGGACTGAAGTGACTGAGATCTCCTTCTCATCAGCTGGAAATAGCGGAGGCTGGTATCCTAATGAGATTTAAAAGGGGGAGAGACCAGTAGCAGATGAGACATGAGAGTTATGTGCATACTCCACCCAATGCAGGAACTGACTCCAGTCAGCGGGGTCGGTGGACGTGAAACACCTGACGGTGGACTCCAGCTCTTGGTTCATTCGCTCGGTTTGACCGTTAGACTGAGGATGGTAACCAGAGGTTAAGAAGACTTTAGCTTCAAGAGCAGAACAAAAATGTTTCCATACCTGGGCTGTGAATTGCGGTCCTCTGTCCGACAGAATCTCCTGTGGGATGCCGTGTAATCTGAAAACGTGCTTTATCAGAAGTAGAGCTTTCTGAAAAGCAGTGGGAAGTTTTCTCAGAAGAATGAGATGACAGGCTTTAGAGAATCGATCGACGATTGTTAATATGGTGGTCATGCCCATATGTGGCAATATGTGACCAAGGGTGTTTGGGAATTGGCAGGGGATGAAGGAGACCAGAGGGAGGCAGATGAGAAGGTTTATTCCGGGCACAAACTGGACAGGCAAGAACAAACTCTTTTATATCTTTGTGTAGCGACGCCCACCAAAACCAACA